CCCCAAAACCCCAAAACCCCAAAACCCCAAAACCCCTTCGAAACACGAATAACTGAATACAGGAAGACAATAATAATATAATGTCAAGTTGCATAAGTGACCAAGAAGAGTTCATTGTTTATTCCAATGATGGGGAATATCCAATTTCCTACCTTGCTAAAGAATACGAAGATGAATCCTCCAGAGATGCCTCGACTTGCCCAAAGGAATTATCAAATTCAGAACTCGAGGATGTCGTTAAGCGAATAAACTTCCAAGAAGAAATTTCTGATGAAGTTAGCACTGAAAAATACCTGGGAAAATATGTTTTGGATAATAATGGAGTTACAGAAAATTTGGGAAGGTGAGTATATCAAATTGATAACTTACTCTTAACTTAATCAAGAAATCTTTTATGAGTTCCTTAAAATAAAAAATATTCTATAGCAATTTTGTTCTAAATTTCCCAAAGAGCAAGAAATCTGAACAAAAATGGCAAAACTCACAGACTTCTATATAAATGATTTCTCAAATTACCTTGAGGCAGTGTGTCCCTTCAGTTCAGAAAATCCCCAAGACTCTAGGATAAGCGTACCTGAAGAAGAAAGAAACCTTTATGAGACCCTTCAAAATATCGTATCAGAACTCGATGAGGTAGACTTGTTGCAGATCAAGCTACCTCAAGCTGAAGAAGAGGTAAAACAAGATGGCTTAGAGGAGCTGAAGACTCAAAGATCCTCCACACAGTCTAAGCATCTCTTTAGGAAGGACAATATCAGAAAGGCCACCATTAGAGCGCTAAATTAAAGTAGTCAAGACTCACCTTGACAGATGCTTGGAAAGATATTATCTCAGAACTGGGAAGGATCTGAAGAGTTGCTTCCTCCAATATAAAAAAGAGGTCTTTGACTGCTTTAAAACTTGCATGGAGGAGGTCCTAGGATACAGTCTACCAGACATTGACACCAAAGAAGTTTATGCTATATTCTTCGATCTTTGCTTAAGAAAGAAGAACGCAATGAATGCGATGGTTAACTTCTCTAGTAAATGCGAGAGAAAGCACATTTCTGAAGCTCTTAAGAGATATAAAAAGCAGGGCAAAGCTTACAAGAAGGAAGACGGAGAGTATTGATTTAGCCATGTTGTAATGGAGATCGCAAGGAAACTGTATGTCTCGAGCGATGAATATAAAGAAGTGTTCAAAAATCAAGTCCTTGATACCAGAAAGAAAATTGGAATTAAAGACAGAGAGGCTTATTTAAAAGAGTTGATTGAAGAAATGAACTTCATCAACTACGACGATAATAATTTATTCATAAACGTCATTTACTAAAACCCATCTTTTAAATCTGTTTTGTTCTTCTTTGTTCTCTTCTTTGTTCTCTTCTTTGTTCTCTTCCTTAACCTCAATTAGATAAAATTAAATTTTATTAAGCTCTTAATTTTCTTGGAATTAACAAAATAGTTTCACACAATACCTTCGCCAATTTTATGATTTCAGGACTAGTTTATGGTTGTATTATTACCCCTTCATCCAAATAGCCAAAAGTGGAATCTAAACATTATATAAACTTCTACATAATTGAAGACAAAGAGTGAAATTATAATCGAGCTTACATAATAAATTGCCTTCCTCTTTTTTTAAATTCCCTCCTATCCAAGAGGAAAAGGGAAAATTTACCCATGGGCCTTCAAGATGACCATTGGATCTGGATGCAGCAAATCTGATACTTCAAAATCTGGAAAATTTTCTAACAGTAAGATAAGAAATAAAATTACTGTGAAAAATTATCCCTAACACGCTCATTATCTTATGCTACCATTCAAACTTTAGCTTACTTTGGCTCTTCCAAAAATTATTTACGGCCCCAGTCAAGGACTCATCTTCGCAGTGATGCAAGAGGTTTTCTCCTGAGGCTTCTGAAATCCATTTTAAATTTTGTTTATACTAAGACACTAAGGGACTTTTCAGTTTTAAAATTTCAATTTAGTTAATTAAAATCGGGGTTTTGGGGTTTTGGGGTTTTGGGGTTTTGGGG